TTTCTCGCGCTTGTTTGTATTGTGTTTTTGTTTCTGCAACGAGAGGCCGGCCTTTTCTGTTGGGCTCTTTGGACTTTGCTCAAATGGACTGGATGTGATTGGCCGGCTTTTTTTGTTTACTCATTGTATTGTGTTTTGAATAAATTTGACTTCTAATAGAAAAAAATATTTATAAATTTGAATAAATGAGAGACAAAATATTTTTTTGGTTATATTATGAATTCACTTTTTTCCATATGAATGACAATTATACCCCTTATTTTTTGAGTAAAATTTTATCATTTATTTATCATTGTGTAAACTTTACTCCTGTAGGTTGGCCCAAAAAAAAAACGTTGTTCCTTTGGAATATATTATATATTTTTTTAACTTTCAGCAATGAAACATGTTGAAAATAATTTATAAATAAGGCTATAGGAGCATAATTATGATTATCACTATTTTAATAATTTGGGAATAAATTGTACATGTTGCGATGATGATGATCTACAATAGATTTCAATTTGGAGAGTCCCTGAAACGACGACATAATAAGTATCTTATTTGGGCTCGAGTCTTGAGGCAAGGGAAACTAGTACTGAAATTCTCAAAAGTTGTAAAATTTTTTAAATTATTCTTTAAGAGATTTTCCTCCTAACGTATTCTCTCCCGCAGTATATTGCTCTCCCTTATTTCACCATCCAAGGATAGCAGAGAGTCTATCCATTTAGTCTCGTGGATTAAACAATTTTTCACCAAACAAATACCCTTTATGCTCAATTTTTTTAGGAAAGTTAATTTTTTAATCTTATAAGATTTAACTTTGTTATGACTCATTTCTTTTAATTTAACTTGTCACGACTCAGTTCCTAAGTTTGGTCTGTTTAACATATTAGCTTTTGCTATAAGTTACTTCATTTGTCTTTTTTTCATAAGCAACAACTACCATTACCTCTTTATCTTTAAATATAAGTAACATTTACAAGTTGTCTTAAATTTTTATAAGAAATTTTCTATTTTGCTCATATTAAAGACTTATTTTAATAGTTAATATATTTATTTTTTGTTTATTAAAACATCATTGCTTGGTTAATAAATGTTCTGGAGATTATATTTTAATATAATCTCTCTCTATAACACATTTTCTCTTTCTTTTATAATTCTTTTTATTATAATAATTTTTTATTCTCTTTCTTATACTCCTTTCCCCATGAATAAGTATATTTTATAGAACAAACTTTCAATTTTTATCCATTTATTATCTTTAATCTATTCTAACTAACTTTTTTATCTACGTGATTTAGTCTAAGGTTGTTTATAAAAATGGACGGAGTTTTTCATTCTTGTCAGCATACCATACAGATCAAAATGATTGGAGAAATTTCTGTTCTTTTTTTTTTTTTAAACAGTCACTCCGTGTCTTAAAAAAAAATATCCATATTAATGTTTTGTTACTTTTTCATCTCTTGGTCCATATTCTATGTTAAAGTTTTATTCATTTAGCATTCGTTAATTAATTAAGGTAATGAATTGCTTCATTCTATCGTTTATCAAATATTAGGTATCTATATATTTTCGTCTATATGGAATTATGGATTCGTTTGTTTCATATATAATCATCATAGGGTCCAGGCACAATCTAGCTAATGCTTACATTTAGCTATGCAAGATATTGTGTGCTGAGACAACTTCTCAACAAAAACTGGAGGGTTTGAGGTGCAACGCACTTCAGTACATTACTTACAGAATTTGTTTCTCGCATGACTGGTTTTTTAAGATGATGGTTTACTCAGATAAATCCTTAAGTAAGGATGCAGCATTTCGGTTTAGAAAGCCCTGGATCATTCCTTGATGCTATACACAGAGAATTCTTAGATTTTTAACTTCTTACAGTTTGAAGGCGAGATTGTTTAAAGGCTACTTAGTTTGAAATTACCTTGGAGGAAAAATTAATTTTTTTTAAAAAAATTGCTTTTCAAAAAATTTGATTGTATCCTTATCAACACCACCTTCGTGGGAAGTACTTGGAACTTCATGAGGGCTTCTTGACTTGTACTGTTTGGTTGTGACCTAGCTAATGTTATTAAGTATTCCTTTTGGTCTAAATATAAAACTCATTTTATAATGTAATTTATATTATAAGATGTGTTTTATATTTAGGAGGAGTATTGTTTAAAGAAAAATCAGATTCTCCAAATAATTTCTGCATGCAGTAGATGAGAGAGAAAAAGGATGAAACGCGGAAGATGATAAAGTCAAAAATGTCCGTGGAAAGAAAGAGCGCAAAGTCATCATCAGTGGAAGAAAACATTCTAATAATAAAGCACTCAGTCATACAGCTGGAAAACAATATTCTGTATAAATAATGACTTCTTTTTCTGGGCAAAGTTACACTCATGAATATTTTATAATCCATCTTTTCTGATCTCGAAATTCCCAAAGTTCTTAATTATATGCCTATTCTCTCTTTCTCCATTATTTGCACACATTTTCTTCTCCGTTGACGCATCAAGTCTGCAGCACTACTGTTTCTCACCGGAGTCAGTCGTCGCCCATGCTTCAATCCACAACTTGAAATAGAATTTAGTAATTTTCTCTCTTTTCTCTGCTTTTCCATTAGCTTACTATGTAACCTGATTTTCATCTTCGTTTGTTGTTACTTCTGCTTCAGCCTTTGCCCCAACCTTATTAAAAAAAACAAAAAAATCATTCTCTCGGGAAAGCTAAGTTTGTTTCCAACTGTATGTGAAAGTGTGTTATAACCAAGTTTCAGACTGTGGAACTGTATATATGTCTTCAATTTTGATTATTACGTCTGGTTCAGCATATATATTGCATATGCAGGAACAGCAATAATGGACAAGGTGGGTGGAAGGCCAAGGGATGATGTGTGGCAACACGTTGAGCTATTGGAGGGAGGACGAAGAGTGAAGTGCAAATATTGTGGCTGGGAATTTGCAGCGAGTGCTAACAGAATCAAATCTCATATTAATAAGGACAAGGGCAAAGGCATTCGAGTCTGTCCAAATTTTGTTTCAGACAAAGGAAGAAACTCCATTAATGATCCAAGAGACAGCATCCTACATTCTCAACAAGGTATTGCTTCAGTCTAATTCAAAATATAAGTCATACGTAACTCATTTTGGGAGTAATTAATATTTATTTATCAATTTTATTTCTGGAATTAATACTTCAATGTAACTCTTGATATTTTTCTTTTTCCCTCGCAATCTTAATTAATATAAATAAAGTAGGAAAAGTTTTCAACTCGAGACAGATTTAATGAGTTAATATATTGTTATACTCCTATCTTTTTTAAGTCATACAGAGAGGTTTTTTTTTTTTAAAAAAAAGAAAGCTACACTGTATAGGTTTAAATGAAGGTAAAATTAATTAGATACTCCTTTAATTTTCAGATAGATGTGAAGAGTTTTAAATCTTCTCTTAGTTCTGGTAATTTTTCCCGTTTTTTTAACGAAGCAGGACAAATCCAAGCTGAAGCAAACTATCAGGAAGTGTTTCCAGTTGGGTCATCTTCTGTTTCCAATAGGGAGAATGAAGACTTGCAAGTCATACAATATGTGTTTGAATGCTTAAGGTTGGATTTATGCGTCCAAAATTTGTGTGTGTGCTTCTAATATGTATATATGAATGTATTTTATTTCCCCTAGTTCTATTTTTTGATATGCATATCATTCTAACTCTTCAGTCCTGAAGATAAGGTTTTTATTTCCCCGCTTTCATATTTGACTCAAGAAGAATTCACCACACTTAAACCGGAGACTTTTTTGGATTCATTGGTGAGTATTTATTATATTTTATATTCGATTTTAATATTAATGACCAAGGTTTTAGTCATATTAACATTTAGTTCCATTCATTATATTCTTAGGTAATAGATATTTTTGTGGAGATGTTAACCCATGTTGAGCGAAAGAAAACTATGCCTTTGAATTGGTATCTTCCTGTGACATTTTCGGTGATTTTCTATTCCCTTTCTTGTTATATGATGTATATCAATAGATTTTTAATCTAAAACCAGTTCATTGACAATAATTTTTAATGATTCGTCCATGATATGATTATAGAATGCAGCACTCGGAGGTAGCATAGGTCAATTCTTGCACTTTGTCCGCTGCCAACGAATAAGAGAAAATTATATGTCTGACCTGGAATCCTGTAAAAAGGTATGTCGTTTCAACTCTTTATAAAAAAGGTTCTTTATCAACATGATTACTTGCTTTTGAAAGAATTATAATCAACTCTTCAAGAAAAAAAATTATCAGTAAGTTTTAATGACAAATAAGTAGTTGTTATTTATTATCATGGAACTTGTCATTATAAGCTACTCTGTTGTTATTCAAATTTTTTAATAATTATATTCCTTACTTGGGACGTTATATTATTCTCCTTTTTTCCTGCTCTATGTCAATTTGATTTTTGTTATCACAAATAATAGGTGTTTATTCCTGTTTACATTGAAGCAAAGCCAACTGGTGGACATTTTTATTTATACATTATTCATTTAAAGAATGAAGAGATTGAAATATGGGATTCGCTACTCAATACATTTGTGGCTGAGCCAGAACGCAATGAGATAACAAAAAATGGTGAGAGTTAGATAATTGCAATATTCAGAAGATTAACCGATTAATTATTCTTTTGATTATATATAATATTTTATTTATATCTAGTTGCTTGCGATGGAAAAGCTGTTCGTGAAAGTAGCATTTACAAAATTTCGTTCCAAGATGGAAAACGACATCCTTCTACAGCCTAATGGGTGAGTGAACAATTACTATTGTATAAAATTATATAAACTTTACTAGAAAAAGTTTTTATCATAACCTTATCATATATATATATATATTTATACGTTTTAATTTGTAGATTTGACTGTGGCATCTTTGTTGTGAAGTTCATGGAACAGTCACATAATTATGTGAAGGGAAATTCTTTATTTCAGGTACGACCTCTTGCAAAGATATTAGTAATAGACTCATATGGGTAAGCACTTACACATGCCCACGCGAGCACTCTCTTTTAGTCATATAGTAAACGATAAGGACAATTATATGCAGTTTGACAGTAAAAAAGAAAGGGAGGATTTGGCTTCAAAGTTGCTCAACAGTGACCTCAACCAAGAAAAACAAAATCTATACGACAAAGCAAGACGGCACTTTGCACAAGTTGAACAACAGGATGGCAATAAAAGGTTACGAATTGACAGAGTGAATAAATCTGATAGTTTAGAAAAAGGTACGAGTATCAGCAGATAAAATATATATCCAACTCCTTTTATTTGTCATTTATGAAAATGTATTAAAATTACTTCACGTTTTTAAACTTTAAAAAATTGTCCTAAACATTTTTGGCCGAAAAAATTGTCATAACTACCAGTATTTCTCTTAGCCACTCTCTTCTCTATAACTTCTTGGATTAGTTAATGAGGGACAAGTGGAGAAAAAATATTTAATGCTGCCTAAATTCTGTGGTGACTTGCATTTTGAATGCTCGAAAATTTTCAAATTTCGATTTACACACAGGGACGGATAGAGTATATACATATATTGATATATATGACTACTTAAAATTTGAATGCCATATACTTAAGCTTAATTTTTTATATATTCTTCTTACTCTCTTTACTTAATTATTCATTACTGTTCTTGTTGCTAGGATCCTCTAAAGGTTATACATTGCCTATGACAGATTTAATAGGTTGTGATTTTCAAAGGCATATTCAAGATATATGGAAATGGATAATGGATGACACGGTGTCAGCAATTGGAATTTGGGGAATGGGAGGGTCAGGAAAAACAGCCTTAGCAACCCATATACATAACAAGCTTATTTTGGAAGAAGTTAGTAGTGACATTAAAGTTATTTGGGTAACTGTATCACAAAATAGCATCTCCCATTTGCAAAAAGTGATAGCCAAATCAATTGATCTAGATATATCTGATGAGTTTGAGGTTAAAAGAGTTGCCGGGAAATTATTTCAAGCATTCAAAGAGATGAACAAATGTGTTATTATTTTAGATGATGTTTGGGATCATTTCTTTCTAAAGGACGTTGGATTTCCTATGTCAGATAATCAAATTATATTGATTTTGACCACCCGTATAAGGAATGTGTGTCAAGGTATGGGTTGTAAGGAGGTAATAGAAGTGGCGCCTCTAGATGATGATGATGATGAAGAAGAGAGTTGGGATTTGTTTAAGGAGGTTTTGGGATCCTTCCGTGAAGAACTGTCTTCGAAAGTGGAAGATATTGCACGGAATGTGGCACAAAAATGTGAGGGTTTTCCCCTAGCTATTGTTAGAATCGCGACAAGCATGAAGGGGAAAACAGAAGCTAGAGAATGGAGTCATATGTTGGAATGTCTTCAAAACCTGGGCAATGGGCAATATGAAGTGGACAAATGGGTATTGCCAATTTTGAGATCTAGCTATGATTTCTTAAATAACAAATTGCAAAGATTCTTCTTGTATTGTGCTTTAAGTACCGATGGAATTTTTGACGACGATGAGCGTGATCGTTGGATAAGAAGATTTGTTTATGAAAACATAGATGGGACAAGGAAGTTGAGGGTGCAGTATTACGAAGGTTATAAAATTTTGCATAAATTAGAGGATCATAGCATGTTGGACTATATTGAGGGTGCATGGGTGATAAACAAATTTCTTAGAGCCCTTGCTATTGGTATTGCAGAAGAAACTTGTAAAATTATGGGAAAAGCTGATAAGAATTTGACAGAAATACCGAGTGATGACCAATGGACAGAAGATCTACAAAAAGTTTTTTTGACGGGAAACAACATACAAACAATTCCAAATGGAACGTGTTTTAAGTGTTCTCAACTTTCGATGTTGCTTTTGGATTGTAATGTAGAACTCAACCACATTCTAGATAAATTTTTCAACAACACGCCTGCTCTCAAGATACTTGATTTGTCTGAGACTATGATTGAGCGTTTGCCTGCATCGTTGTTCAACTTGAAATGTCTGATTGCATTATTACTCTCAGGATGTACAAAATTGAGTTACATTCCCTCACTAGGAAAATTGAAACGGTTAATATCATTGGATCTATCTTCTACTGCCATCACTGAAGCACCTACGGGCTTGGAATCATTGGTCAATCTTAGATGCCTATCTCTACTCCCTGCAGAAAAGCTGAAAATGTCAGCATGGCTTCTATCCACATTGATCAATTTAGAGTGTCTTGAGGCGGGTTGGGCCCAATGCTCAACGGATGTGATTGGACAAGGTACACAAGTTTTGAAAAGGTTGGAAGTTATAGTAGCCCATTTTTGTGACATTAGCGCGTTCAATAACTTTGTGAGCTTCCTGGCCCATAATGTGTAACCATAAGCTATCGATTAACTTTAGGGGGCTACTTTCCAGTATGAAAAAAAAATAAAAACTTTAGGGGGTGCAAGATACGATCAACTACGCCGGCACTATAATCATCATTCTTATGATGGAGAAATTCCGTGAACAAGATACTTATTAAGAATATGGACTGGGGAAATGAAAAAGTTATACTCCCAGGAGGCATCGTCGACGAGTTGGTTATCGAGACTAGTGGCCGAGGGAAAGGTGACAGATCCTTATGTAGTGTTTTATCATCTGGCCACCACAATAATCCATCACAAATTAAACTGCTGGAAATCATAGTATGTAATGGTTTGGAGTGCTTATATTGTTGTAATTGCCCCTTTTGCCCCTCTACTCAACTTGTTGGATGTCTCAAAATGTATTCTTTGAAGGGATTGAAAGATTTAGTGTCACCATATGCTGATTCCTTGCATCAATCCATCCTATTTTCTCATCTCACAGATCTCAATATTCGGCAATGCCACCGCATGGAGGCTCTGATGACACCCAAGTTACTGGCACACCTACAAAACTTGCGCACCATTGATGTTGATTGTTGTTGCAACATGAAAGAAATGGTTGGAGCTGAAGAGGATCATTCTGAATTGGAACCTACAGCTGGTAGTGGCGACCTCATGGTCCTTCTGCCTAACCAACCTACTCACCCTACTCTCATTCTCCCCAAGTTGACATCTCTCAAATTAAATTTCATGCCACAATTAGATGTCGTATACAGAGGCATCATGCTCTGCCCTTCCCTCCAAACATTCTCTGCTAATAGTTGCCGTCAACTAAATCACCCTCAGATAGCGATCTCAAATGATGGAGGTGGGCTTCTGATGGAGAAAACCCCAACTGGATACCGTTGGGGAATTAATATTGATTAATCAGGTCCATATCTGACTTATTTTATACTCCTTCGGTCCTTATTATAAGACCCAATTTGACTTTTTATTTGGTCCTAATTATAAGACCCAATCCATTTCTCTCTTTATTTATGCATTTTTTTCCAGATAATCCTTCTAATAATGATAGTTTTAGCCAATATACTTAATTGAAAGAATATTTTAGGAATAACAACACTTATTTATTATAAATAACCAACTTAACTTACTTCCTTAATCTCCTCAAATAAGTCCATTGGGTCTTATAATTAGGACCGAGAGGAGTATTATGTTTATGATTCTGATTGAATCTCGGCAATTTAAGAATATTGTTACCGTTTGTGTGTACTTATCCTCAAGCTTCAAATGTACTGATAAGCTTCTCATCTCTAATGACACAAAGTGACGAACTTTGAAAACCTAAAATTTATATTAGAGCCACATAATCATATGTTTCTTTCTTTATTGTTTATTTCTCCCTGCCTGCTTGTGTTGTACTTGATTTTTGTGATCACCACTAACCTTGCACGCTCACATCAATTTCAAAATTGCTGCCAATAAAAAATATTAATGTTCCCATAATTGAAATTTTGTTTGTTATAAATTATATGAAATTGAAATAAATCGTAGATTATAACGTGAAAATCTGTTCTTGTGTTTTATTTGAATGCTCAAAGTGTGCATTACACAATACAGGAAGTTAATCATTGTGAATATATTTCATCTCCGAAGTTTCTAATGGTATTGTCAGTTATTCAATTAGTCACAAAGTATAGTTTCAAAGTTGTTTGTGGCATGTGTAACATCTCAAATTTTTAAATTTTATGATAACAGGGGAAAGAAATTTATTAAAATTATTTAAAGCCTAAAAAAATTTGGAAAAATTTCAAGGACTCAGGAGGACCTATTTTTTTAAAGATTCAAGAAAAATAGGTTGAGGTTTATATTTGAGATAAAAATTTTAGGATAATTATTTTATGAGGTAAATAAGCTAATTGAGGCATAAAATCCTTAAAATGAATTAAGGATTGATTTCTGAAATTAAAGGTTATTTTCTTAAAAAATTCAGGGAAAATGGTTAGGAATTGATTTTTGATTCCCAATTTTAGAAAAATTATTTTATGAGCCAAAGAAGTTAATAGAGAAGGAAAATCCATTTAAAATATGATGGATTAATTTTTGGATTTATTTTATATTTCAGAAATTAGTTGAAAGGATGAAAGTGACTACAAACTTGTTGATCATTTCTCACCTTTTTTTTTTTAAAATTTGATTAAACCCATCTGCTCCTCTTTCCATCATTTCGACAGGAAGCCAGAGAGAAAAAAAGAAAGCCAAGAGAAACGTGAGAGGGAGACCGTAAGAGCAGAAGCCGTCCGAGTAGTGATCGGTGGCCGTTTCCTTGCATGCCCAGCTTAGTCTCTGAACAAGGTGAGTCCTCTGATCATCATTCTACTCTTCTTCTTCGGTTTGCTAAGTGTTTGAAGAGTTATGATGAAAGAAGCTTGGTTTCTAGTGAGAGAAACTCTTGATTGAGTGCGAAACTTGATGATGAGGAAAGAGTAGTATTTGTTGATGATAATGGAGTGTGATTTTTAACTTGCATGTGGATTTCCATGCTCTGTTTTAGGTTGGCCGAAACAGGGGAAAGAAGGTTGTTTGAATTTGTAGCTCAGAATCTATTAAAATCAAGACCCATAACAGTAAAAATCTCATTGCATGTGAGTATGTTGGATTGCATGTTGTTTTCTTCTTTCGTTTGGTGGATAATGGGACTAAGTGGGGAGCAGAACTTGAACTCCTTTCCTTTTGCGTGTTGTGGTGCAGTTAAGGGAGATTAGATGGATCAATGGGTGTGATAATTTGAATGCTAAATTTGAATTTGAATACATAGCTATAAATCTGGAAAATTTCCAGATCTGGAGTAAAAGTTATGTGTGTTAGAGGACAATCAAATTGATTGTATATAAGGCAAATCTCAAGAGCTTAAATGTGATCAAGTGCTAATCACAAGAGGTTAAATAGAATGAGTAACTTTGAAAACTAGGAATCAGTTTGCAGTTTTTGTCTAATGATCCTGAAAATGTTTTGCAGTTACTTTGGATTGTTAAAGTTGTCTAGAGATATTGAAAGTATGGTTTGATTATTATCTTACACCTGGAAAATTTTTAGATTAAGGTTAAAAGTTGCTCAAGTGAAAAAAAAGGGGAAAAGAAGTTTATATATGGTAATCGGATTTTATACATATAAATTTATAAACGTATGCAAGTACTGATTTTAAAGAAATATTGTGATTAGCTGAAGGTTTGGTATTTAATAAGTATAAAGATGGTTCTTTATGCTAAGTGATTAACTTCGCGAAATAAATTTTGTTTAGAAACTGGAATGTAAGTTTAAAAAAAAAAAAAACTTAGGCTTAAGTTGCCCAAAACCTGGAAGGGAACAAGAGTACGTAAAGGTTAGTGGAATTGCATTATATAAAGTGGGATTTATATGTATTCCCTGTGTTTTGGAAAAAGTTCTCAAAATAAGTAATGAAAGAATTCTGTTTCTTCCTCTGAGGATCAAACCTGGCTTACTGGCTCGAAATTAATTATATAAGATTAAAGTAGGTGTTACACCATGCGTCTTAATTACAAGGCCATTTTATTCGCAATTGCAATTCTAATTCTAATTCTGACCTTTTTAGGTAATGTAATTTACAGGTCATGGTTGTACGGAGGGTGACACGGGAGCCGACCTATCCTTCTTTAAATAATCATTTAAGGACCGCTTTTGATTCTATATTTATGTTGAGTGCCTCTATATATATTGGCCTATTACACTTTTTTCATTAGCACATTAATTATGATGAACCTTGGTTTAATTTGTAACGCATTATACTTGCTTATAGCAGATGACATGTAGACGCTTTATCCAAGAGGTTGCTCAAGTATCTTAAAATTGGCTGTACTCAGTTTCTATTTGTTGGACAACATTTTGGAGAGTGATTTCTTTCTATTTATGAGGCAAATTAGAAAATTTGATAATTATTTAATACTTTTTCCTAATGTGCTCCTTTTGAGAGTATGAAATTATGACTTGCCACAAATGATGCCTTTCCTATTAAAGGTTAGCTGATGAAGTTGGCATAAACGGGAGCAAGACGTCGCATCAAAGAATTTAGTATAGTTGGTGTGGGAGATTTTTTCTTTAGTCCTACAGAGAGGAATCAATGGAGTTCCACAAATGGCAAATTAACCCCCCGACGCACTCTATTTTTAAATTAACGTTGCTGACCTGTCACTAGTTGGCATTGACTGCACATTAATTGATGAGCACCCAAAGAAATATTACATTTTCAAATATTTTTATTAAAATTCTTTTTAATGCTATAATTTTTAAAAGTCAAACTTCATACAATTTATTACAAGTAAACTACTCAAATTAAAAGTGACCTTCTGAAGATATTAATACTTTAATACTGTTTTTTCACCCTTATTATAATATGGGTCATCAAAAACAACTAATTCACACATACCAAGAAAAGCAGTCATGTCATTAAGGTGCTCCAAGATTATAAAATTTTTCAAATATGCCACTGTTTTAATAATGTGATTTACATCAATGTTTGCTAATAAATATTATAATAATATTTCCCAGGTGTTATTTATAAGAGCCCAAAATTTGAATTCGTTCGGTTGCTTTTTATAAAATCTTACTAAAATTATTAATCTAAAAATTAAATTTTTTTAACCAATTTTGCCTATAATTAATTGTTATTGTCTCTTCTCATCTTTTAATCATATTTCATTCTCTTTTATTATTTATTATATTATTATTATTTCTCTCTTTATTACTCTCTTCATTAAATACGGAGGATATATTTGAAAAAATGAAGTTTAATTTTTACATATTTATTACTTTTAACTAATTTAACAGTTTTCTTAAACTGTATAATTTGGTTAATATGATCTTATAAAAAGGATCAAAGGGGAGTAATTTTAATAAATCGAGTTGATTAGTGGGGGGAAAAAAGCCATTAATGACCCTGTTAACGTCTTATAATAAGAACCGGAAGAGATTGATTTACAAGTCAACATCTAATATTTACTCACAAATTGATCTATCTAATAATTGTCATTTCCATTTGTTAAACGGTAACTCTCTACCTTATTTAATTTCAATTTAATTCACTTGATTCAAATTCAATCTTGATTTACTCACTTAAAATAAAAGAGAATTTTTATTATCTAATCACTGTTAACTAAGTTTTTTGTGGGATCAAATTTAATTTGTTATTGTCTATTTTTACGGCTCATATATTTGCACCATCTCTTTATATTTGGTAGCATCGGGAAGATATAAAATGATGAAATAAAAGCTAACGAAAAGCTGGAAAATTCCTTTAGTAAATTAGGAGATTAAAGTTAATGTTATGCTATATGCTATATATTAATAATACATTTAGGTAAAATATAAAATGTTCTAAGATGTAATATATAATTATGTATTTATTATTTTCTCATGGCAAAAAGTATTTATTTACTCCCTCCGTTCCTTATTATAAGAGACATAACCGAGTACATTGATAAAAAAACAGTTTAAAAAATTAGTTAAGAACAATTAAATATGTAAAAGTATAATTTTTTTTCAAAAATACCCTCATTAATAAGGAGAGAGGAGCATGAGAGAGAATAAACTTATTAAAAGAAAGAGAAGTGGTAGCGGGGAGGAGTGGGTGAGTTGGAGATAATAAATATGGGAAAATTAAACCAACAAAAAGTAGAGACAACTTGTAAGTGTCTCTTATATATAAGAGCATACCATAAGCATCAAATATCTCTTATAAAAAAACGAGGGAGTATTTTAAGAGGGATGAATGTAAAATTTGCAGGGTGGTTTATTCAATAGACGAGAGAAAGGTATTGTTGGAAATGAAAATGGGAGGAAGAGAGAGAAATTATTAAATACAGTATAAACTTTTGTAGGACCCACGATCTTTTATTGCTCTGATCAGCGATGCCATTAAGACTACCTATCTGAATTTTTTTCATCTAATTAGATAGATCACAAATGACATGATACTCCCCCGTGCATACAAGAATTTCTCGGGTCAATTTGCCAGACTGCGTCATGTGGGCCGTCGTTAGGGGCATCTCACTTTTTCAAAAGGTATTTATTTTCTGAAACTCAATCTTGGGCTTAAATTATGGGCTTCTTATAATATTCCGGGTTCCAACCCGTATTCATCTGCTTTATCTGGGGCCCAAGGTGGTTCTTTTGGATTGTTTTGAACTTTTGATGACTCCTCATCTGGGAAAGAAACTCACCTAGACCAGTTAGCTGAGGCCCACGTATGCAATCAAACCCATTCTTCCGGCTCCAATGCTTCTGTAACGGAAAAGGAAGC